TTTTGAAATATGGGACATTTTTGGAAGCTATGGCAATGACAGCGAAAAAAGAACCACTCATATTATAATCAAAACACTACAATATACGAGCAAATTAAATTACTGGATTTAAAGTTGAAGGGGGATAAAAACTAATCAATATCGAATATTATTCCTTTCTGTCAGAAAATTTGTCCCATCAAAATAAGGAGGTATCGCAATCATGAAACCCGGAATCTATCACCACAGACGTTGAGAAGTCATTATGGTCATATCGTCTCACGTATAATATTCGATATACTGAGAAATATACACTTCTAGTAATTCAAATTATAACACTCACCTTCATTAGCGCCTGTATTGGTACTTGTTACTTTCAATATAATTACGTGACTCACGTCGTCAAATTCGCTTTTCGCAAGGCATTCGTATTGTCCGCTGTCGTTCTCCGTAACGTCATTTATAGTTAATGTAGTATTAACGATATTTCCGTGGGGAGAGAAAATGACAACGTTTTTTGTGATACTGTCTCCATTAACCTTTTGCCATGAAACAGTTTCCTCTTTTATGTGTGGATTGGCGTCTATCGTACATACCAGATCTGCGTCTTGGCCTACTTTGAATTCGGTTTCAATTAATCCTGTGATGATTGGTTGATCTAAAAAAACATATTTAAAAAAATGTATGGATAACATCTCAGTTGATGCGATTTAGAGGCAGAAGTAAATCATATACTTATTGATGCTTTGAATAGTGTTGGATATGCACGTGTGTAAATACTGGGAATACTCACAATGTACGTCTATGTTTGTTGTGCCATTACCCATATCAGAACTGCCATCAAAATAAGTGTTGGTTGCTGTACAAATGTATTGTCCGCTATTATTTCTATTTATCCTGTCAAAGGTATACGATTCATTACTATGCACTGGTACACCATTCTTTGACCACTTAATCGTATCGACATCTGGATTTGAATTGATTACTTTGCACACCAATGTTACCGCGTCGCCCTCCTTACATGTTATGTCAGGTACAACAGATACTGTGGGTGGATCTATAATTAACATATACGTGTCACCGGGTTATCTATATCCAACTAGTGACCATGCTTGTAAAATATGGAATGTATGTTTAGTTATACTCACATTGTACATCTACATATATTGATTCTATGTCGTTCCCAAGGTTATTATCAGCAACACACGTGTATGTCCCATTGCTATATCTATCAATGGCACTCAATGATAGATTACCGTTGTTGAACTCTGTGCCGTCTGGGTAGATCCACGTAAATGTGGCTTGTGGTTCTGCATCTGCAAAACATGTTGCTGTGTAATCTTGACCCTCTATAACATTACCATCACTGTGATCGGCAATGACGACTGCAGGTTTATCTACGAATATATCAAATAACAATCATACAAAAAAGTCTTGTTATTACTTTATTTGTAGCACAAGATTAGATCAAATATAATGGTCATTTATTATTTGTTTGCGATATGTTTATATCTGTCTGTAAACACAGGGAATACTCACATTGTACGTATATGTTAGTAATACCTATTCCAAATCCGGGACTGCCATCAAAATAAGTGTTCCTCGCTGTACAATTATATTGTCCCGCGTTATTTCTGGTGATATTGTCGAAGGTATACGTTCCATTGTTGTGTACTAATGCATCATTCTTAAACCATTCAATCGTTTCGACAAGTGGATTTGAATCGGTTACATTGCACGTCAGTGTAACGATGTCACCCTCCTTAGAAGTTATGTCAGGTACAACGGATACCGTGGGTGGATCTATAATTAATATATATAAATTATTCTGGAAACTGTTAGAGGAACTTGGAAATGTTGACAAAATAAATAGTAACAGTGACAACATTAATGTAAACGATTGGTTAGATCACTTTAAAAGTCTAAACAGTGAATTTAATGTTGATGAGAGTAGTTTTACCCATACAGTTAGGAATAGTGTCAGTACACTGGAGAGGGAGAATGTAAATAAAATTAATCTTGATTATGAAATCTCAAGCGATGAAGTAAAAAAGCATATTAAATTACTTTAAATTAGGTAAAA